TGGAGATTACAAACCCCTGGAGATGAATAACTGGAGATGCCTTGGAAAGCTTTTGGCTCTCTAAAATACCCAAGGATAAGGAAATGCTTCCTAAAAATGGTTTTAAAGTAAAAAGCAGAAATGTACTAAATGCTTGAGAGTAAGATAAAACAATGGCAATCCCCACGTTTAAATCCTACACTAAATATAACTCCCACAGGCCAAAAGAAATGAGAAATAACAAGAAAAGTAAAAATATGTTTTATGGAACCCACTAAAATAAGTTTGTAATCTTGAGCTCAGCATTTTTAAAAATGTGAGATCAGCTCTAAATGGAAAGTAGCTCTCTGGTCTAAAGAACAAAAGGCATGAAAATTTATTCTGCTCCTGTTTTGCATTTTTTGTCTGTATGAGTTTCAGGCTGAATCCTGAGTCTTCATAGTTTAGATTCTGAAGCAGGAGTCTTTAAACAAAACATCTTTAGTGCCCGAGCAGGTAAGGTAAGTGTGAAAGAGCCAATGTGGCCTGTGGCCAAACCAGAATCTAAATGCCTAAAGCCATTAAATTAAATTTAAAAACAGAAACAAAACAAAAGTAATTGTTTCAGAAAATATATTTCAAGTTTGGATCTGGCTCCAGACTGAGTCAGTGATGCTTGAATTAAAGATAGAAAAATAAAAGAAGGTGGAAATATCAAGGAATAGATTTTATTATTGACGATTTTTAGTATAACCAATAGGAATGTAATTATGAACTTAAAAAAAAAAAAGGAGGACCTTTTTCTCTGCAAAATCATTTGCAGAAATTTCTCCACAATGAGTTGAGTTTCATTCTCTCTAGTGCCTAAGTGAATCCATGAAATGAATTACAAGCTTTGTTAAATAAGGTGTTTAACTCCTCTGGGCCCTCAGGCACCACTGATACACTAACTTGTTCCTTAGTAGCTGAAGAGAGCTAATAGAAAAAGACAAGCAAAAAGGCAGAATTTCGAACAGAAGCAGAGAATATTAACAGAGTTTCTATAATCTAGGAAATG